ATATTCATGTAACCTGCCCTTTTAGCAGAGCATACAAACAAGCATGTAAATCTCTGCAGAACAAGGGGCTTTAATAATCACCAGCACTCAGGACCTCTGTGCTCCAACTCGTTCAAAAGCCAGCAAGTTATGTTTGGTATTTTCAACAAGGACTTAACTAGATATGTTCCTCCCCTCATCCTCCTACTGCATCACATGCCTCATATGAGAGCCAAGAATCTCTTAACAACAAAGTCCCTATAGGCTTCAATAGGACCCGTCTTGCATTCTTTCCCTCCCCCAATAACACCTATAGCAGAAACGGGAAGAAATTGTGTGGCAAGTATCTCCCAATACTTATGGTACCATTAAGGTAGACAAAACCCCCCAGAAATTAATGAGGGAAGCAACAGTGTCAATGAAGCTGCAGAAATAATTAGCCATGTGTGGTCCCACAGGGTGGGGGGACTCCTAGTTCCAAATTGTTTCTTTATGATGAATATGCATAAACATATGGGTAAAACAGTTAAACTGTTTGCAATGTGTTGCCTGGTTTGTAATCTTTAGAAATGAAACACATATTTATTTTAAAGACATAAAACATAATGCGAGTAAAACTTTAAGAAACGTAAATAAGCATCCTTTATTTGAACGGGGGGGGGGGGGGGGGGGGGAGTAAATAAGAAAACCAATTAATCAAATGAGTTTCCCAGTGTTAATGATGTAACAGATTTTTTTTCACCTGCTCTTTGGAAGCTGCTTTTGTCATGACCTTTGTGCTAAATTAATTCTCAGCTGCTGAAATGGAAGAATTTATTTCCCATTCTTTTGATACCCATTGTAAGGAACAAATGTGTCTTCGCATGTGTGTGTCCCATTTGATCTTCCTCCGGTTACCACAACGCTCCTCCTCCTCGTTTTTCTAGAGCTGGTTACTAGAGCAACAGAATCCGTTTGTGGTTTGGAGCAATATATTGCAGGCACTGAAAATCGAGGAGCGCTGCTGTGGTTCCCAGACATGTGAAAAACAACATGGCAGCAAGCCCATGCCACATAGATAATTCTCCTTTAACCTTCCAGCCCTTCACATCCTTGGAACTGAATATCCACCTTTCTGATCTAGCACGGGTTTCTCTGAGCAGCCACATGCTTCAGGGGAAGCAGGCACCTGTGACTATCACACTTGGATATATGAAACTGGACCTTTATTTGTACAACTGGAGACACCCACACAGGCTTCAGTGCTTGCATGCAACTGCCCTCAGGTCCATGGGGAGAAATACAGGTGCACGGATCTGCCCCCACGAATCCAGCATTAGGATCAGGCAGAGGCATTGAAGCAGGGTACACGCCCAGGGCAGCTACAACACGTGGTCATGCCACTGATCAAATTGGGGTGCGGAGCTTTTTCAAGTGCACATGCAGCTGTGGTAAGGGAACTGGAAAAGTATTCATATTACGCACAACATACATGTGCAAAATAGCATGCCTACATTTGTATTAAGTTACCATACTAAACTGAGTCTGGGCCGTCTCTATTTAGAAAAGGATTATGTTTTTGCTATGATAAGGCATCTCAAAGACTACACAGATACATGGATGCAAAAGGCTTTCCAGGATTTAGAACTAAGATGTTACCAACTGGATTAATCCTCGATTGTATCACCACTGATTTCAGTGGCGTTAAACCAAAAATGGACGGCCCAGCAATTCCTCTGTGCTTATCATTCTTTGGGAAATAAATTGCAGGTGCAACCTTGCCAACTTCAGAACTAGAAATTTATTTTTCCACATTCAATCAAGCTGATTTCATAATAGTTTACTATACACTACATAGATACGTGCATGTGCGCGTGCATTTTAAGGATGGATTCGTCCAACTTCTGATTTCCTTCCCCAGTAGGTGACATTAGACACCTTGTAAAGTTTCTTCCTAGAAAGCCTCACTCTTGTGCTACTGGGAGGGGATAAAAGTGTCTGTACCTGAGTTCAATGTTTTAGGATTCTTGAGGCATGTCTTATCCTTATGATTAAATCACAGATAAGCAATATTCCCTCAATACCCGCAAGTCAATTAAATGAGCCTTCCCCAGCTATATAATAGTCTGCATGCACAATACATACTCTTGCAGTTAGCCATAAGCCCAAACTGTGTCATATTTGACCATCTAATCATTTCTTTGCAGCAGTCTAATAACAAAAAACTTGCCCAGACAATTACTGGAGCTATTAATTAGTTTCTGTCCTAGGGGAACAATCTCCACTAGCTTTACTCCTGATTTGAAATGATAGAAATTACCCAAGAAACCTTTTATCCTGCATACATACAGAGCAGCCCCTACTGTGTGAATATTCTGTTATAAACGAGAGGAAGCCTGGTATGAAGGCTGCACAGTGACAATATACACCGAACAGGTTTTCCTTCCACAAAACACAGCAGAGAATGAAGCAGCCGTCCCACTTAAAATAGCTTTGCCGAGAGCTGGAAGGAGCCTTCTGTTAAGGTCACTGAAATCACACTGATGAGAACATTAAGAGTCAAACTCCAACCAGAGCAAATAATTCATAGCTGTTATTTTAATCTAAAAGAATATAACCTTCTTTCAACGAGTGACAAACCAGAGAGGAGAGTCACAACTTTATTTAGCATCCCAATTTTTCCGAGAATGATTTTTGTGCTTATTCTTGTTTCTTGGGCTTTTTTTTTTTTAATGGAGCCAATCCATATGATGTGTGTGTTCAAAACACAGACTTTGAAAAAAATCAAGCTGTAATGTGTTGCTGAGATATTACCCTTTTTTATGGCTGTTCCTGATTTGATGAGCATGCACACAGCTGGCATGAATAACCTATCTCCTAGAACGTCAACATTTGGTTTACGTAGATATTCATGCTGGTAAAAAAACAACAAACACACACTTACTTTTCTCCTGCTTCTAAACCTCCAAATGCATAGGAGCTTGTGTCCAAATGCAATCACAAGAAAATTCAGTCAAATGAAAGTGAAAATTCTTCTGGCAGTATTTTCCTAGCTCCAGTTAACCGGCTATTTTAGTGTAACAAGCTTTATGTCCCCCAAAATGCTTTCTGACACCTTTCCCTCCTCCTCCCCATGCTCCTTTCCAATCGCAGACCTATGGCAGTAGGAAGAATACCCTGCATGTTCCCACCCTTCTCACTGAAACAAGTTGCTAATCTTTCAAGGTGCTTGTTTATGACAGCTGACCCTGAAAATCATCATTAAGTTTAATTCAAGCTCATGGTTTATGGCACTGGAGAAATTGTTCTAGGAAGTTTAGTCTCGTATTTACCTCGGGGACATTCTTTATCCTATGTTTTACACATGCTGATGTGTTGCCAGCTCTCTCTCTCTACAATGGAGCTGCCCTGAACACTTAGAGAATAAAATGAAAGTGAGTTGTTCAGTGAATACAATTCCAGCATGCAGAGCTAATCGCTGATATCTAATGATTATACAATCAAGCAGAGGGATGAATGGGGTAAGCAAGCATATGCCAGAACCATCTTAAGTGGAGCAAGAGGAATGCATCTAGGAGAGGGAGCTGCAAAGGAGAATCTATCTGGACAACAAGGTTCTTTGCCATTTTAATACATTGGATATTATGGGAAACATGGAGACACGTAGAAACGACAACCGTAGCTGCCCAGGGTTCTGTGAATGGCCGCTGAAGCCAGCTGTGTTTAGTAATGTTTGGGAACTGGACCAGAAATGGCCTAGCAACAAAGCGACTTGCTGATGGTCTGCCAAAGTGGGTTAGGGGGTGAAAGAGCAGGTGTGTGAAGGGTTATAGCCATTAGATACCATGCAGATAGGCACAAGGGGAACATATGGGCAGGCGGACACAGGAGTGCACGTTTAA